AATTTCTTAAGAACAGATTTTCTGCTGTGCCTCCTTGAACTCTGACCATGGTGTGCCAGGTGTTAAAGAGGAAAAAGGAAAGTTGAGCTCTTGAAAAGATGAAAGTGTTTGTGTCATGAGTAATCAGAAATCCCGTGCAGCTAAGCCACCTAACCAGATCACTAGCCAGGCTCTTCCGAACAGCAGGGTCTACCAGGGGAGAAGGGGGCACATAGATGGGTCTTGCACCAAAACCTGTGCTTGACTGTCCCCTCCGGATGGCAGTTTTGCAGAACGGTTACTTTCCTTTTTTTTTTTTTTAAAGTTCACTTTGAACGTTTCTTTTACTTCTTTCCTTCGAATCCTGTGGTCACATAGGAACTGTTCAGCGACTGTGTGTTTCTAGTGCCTTAGCGTCAGTGCTTTTGCCAGTCTCAAACAAGATCCCAGGCATGATCAGCTTTCAGGAACCCTAAAGCTGTTGCTCTTACAATGAGGTCTTAGTTTTTTTTTTTTTTTAATAAAGTCAACCTAGTTTTTGTAACCTTCTTTTCAATAATTAAAAATGTAAAATTCTACCCAGAGTCATTTTCTGTGCCAGGGCTTCGTCTTAATATCTGACTTGAACTGCAGATCTCTTATTAACACAGCCTATGTAGGAGGCTCTTAGACAGGAGTTAAAGAACCCCGATACACGGATACATGGCCCATAGTGTTGTTACATTAAATGCCCCAAGGTGCCGTATTCAGTTATCTTACTATGTTTGGTTGGATGTAGACCCAATGTCAGAGATTTCTTTTTCCACTTACCACCCACGGGTTCTTTCCCCCTTTCGGTATAATTGATAAGGCTTGTGTGCCTAATACTTGTGTTAATTTTTTTTAACCGCAGCTGTAATATGATACAGTTTTACTTGCTGAGTCATCTCAAAATCTTATTCATGTTTCTTTCACTTAAAAAAAAAAAACCACTTGAATTTCTAATTTCTATGCTATTCTTGGCTTAGATTTCAATTATCCTTCCAGTCATAGGTAGTAGAGTAGGGCTTTTTCTTTTTACTTTAAAAGAAGTTCTCATTACGTGTCAAACTGGAGCATAAATTAAATTTGAAGGTCAACTCAAAACAGTATTCTTGCCTAGAGAATCGCATGGACAGAGGGTCCTCACAGGTTGCAGTCGATGGGGTCTCAAAGAGTCGGACACAACTGGGCGACGAACACTTTCAAAACAGTTACTGACAAACTTGTCAAAAACTAAGGAATCTCTTTTAAAAATATTCAGAAGAGAGATGCCATATTTAATTTGATTGGAGCATATTATTTTCGTGACATTCAAGTTTATCCCATATATTTTTAATCATTTAAAGTAACGGATTATATCCCATTTATGAATTTATTATTGTTCTGCAACCAGAGATGGGATCCTGAAGTTAAGTGTAAAAGGAATTTAGCAATTACAAAGTGTAATTATAAACAAATGGGCATCATTTCCTTAATTCTTTCATATAAATCAGTCATGCAAGAGAAGGATGTTTCGTGGATAATCACCAAGGATTAGAGACAGATCAAACAGTTTCCCAGAAAATGACTGTCTCCAAAATACGCATTCTTTCCTTCCCTGATAAACTCCTCTGTTCCTCCTCTTCATATAACCCTTTTCTTCCCACAAGTTAGTAAACTCCTTTCGGCAGGGATCATATCCTGGGGATCTTCATTTCCTCAGGTCCCATCAAGATGGTTGTTAAATTTCAGGATGACCCTGCATTTTTTCATGATAGGAAAGGAACCATGGAAATTTTACCAAGACGAGTCTCTGTTGTCTTGCTTTTCACTGAAAACCATCAGAAGCCTGTTTCTTCCATAAAAGATATTGTGTCACAATCATCTGTTAATAAGGGACCACTCCCTCTGTTTGCCTTGGATTAGAGTGAATTCCAGGGCCTGAAAGCTTGATACTGATAGGCATAAAACGGATGTACCAATTATATCATTCAGTGGCCGGGCCCTGAAAGAATGTCAGGAAGCACATCAACTAAATGAAGTTAAATGGATGCAGCCTTTCCTTTCTGTGTTGTCTTTACATTCATCAGAGGCATGTTAGTTCGGAATTTGGTTCTTGCACAGTGTAGGCCAGTAATAACCCAGAGAGGTGGTTACATGAAGATGGGTACCTATCAACCCCCATCCTCTTTTGTTTTCTCCTAGAAGGCGTAACCTACCTTTCTAACCACTACAGTGTTTTCTAGGAAGTAGTTTTAATTTGGGTCACATCTTGAGCAACTGCTATGTTCCAGTCCCTTGGTGGAGTGTTGGTGACCAGCCACGGACGAAGGGGGTCATGACCCCTGACGCTATGGAGTGTGAGAACCCTAAATGGGCAAACGTCGGTGGGGAAAATATTGAGCTTTTTTTTTTTTTAAGCAGTTATGAAGTTTTGAGTTATTAAGTGTCTCAAAGCAGTGACAAGTGATTAAATCCCCATGAATGGATTGGAATAAAATGAGTTTAATCGATTAAACTTTCCATTTTCAATCAATCCTAAATAAGTGTTCACTCCTAGACAGTTAAATAAGTCCCATGTGAATCATGGAGTTTTCTCTCTCTGACATCAGGAAAGAGCCACTACCAGTCACTTGTTACATATACATTGCCTTGGAAATGTACCTTGTACCTGTCACCATAGCAACACCCCAAGAATGACCTCAGCAGCCACTCAAAATCATTCCTACAAAACAAATTATAGCTATAATTAACTCTCTGAATTTACTCTGCAATGTAAGTTTGTCCAGACCTCGGTGTTTCTCTGTTAAAGGTTAAATGAATGGAATAGTCCAGCATGAACCCATCCCTCCCATATTCCATCAAAATTTCCCCCCAAACAGGAGGTGCTTCGGTGGAAAGTGCAATTCAGTTAAGAGATTATTCCGTTGTTACCTCTTCTCAGAATGAGACAAGGGTCAACAAATGAGCATGGACTAGTCTTAGCGTGCTAGAATTCCATTTCTAAGGGAATAGAGTGGCTTTTTTCCCTAAGCAAATGTGAAATGCAGGAGGTGCTGTGAGTCCCTCCCAAATCCTGAAGCCCGGGATGAGGGGCCCACATAGGATTGAGGCTTATGCAGGTAGAAGCTGTCCACATTGGCTGGTTCCTATCAGTCAGTAGAGAGCTAACAACCAGCTAGAGAATCATTGATGTGTTTGAGGTAAGGCCAGTAGAATACTCATTAGTTGTTTTGTATTAAAAATGTCCAGACTAATACAGTTTTGTCTTAAAGAGTTGATACAGCTGCAAAAAGGTGGTAATTTATTTCTTTGTTAAAGCCAGACCCAGGTTTACTGTTTTATGATCCCTGAATCTTAGAGACTTAATGTGGTATTTTTTTCACTACTCAGTTTCAAATTTAACCATGTCATTGATATGGAAATACCACTAGTAAGAAGGATATTTGAATAGTGTTAAAACTAACTCTCAGCATAGGAAATCATCCATCCATTCAGCAAATAATCATGAAGTATTATTTGCTGGGCACTCATTTAGGTAATAAGGAGTAACAGAGGGTGAGACAAAGTCTTTTTCCTAGATAGGTCATGTCAGCTGAGTATTCATGCTCTTGCTAAGTTATGCCTCACACCAGACAGTCCCTATTCTGTATCTCAGAACTCACTCTGTCTTGTTCGTGGGCATAAAGGTATTGAGGATATAGTCTCTTTCATGTCTATAATGGTTCTACCTTTTCTTTAAATCTTTTTCACATGTTAGTTACTTTCTGTGTATCCTTTGTAGTTGCATGTTTTGGAATCTTACCTGTGCTCCATACCTTTCAGGGCCAACGGGAACATAGGGTCTCTTTGAAATCATGAGGATACCATGCAGAACAGTCATGCTTACCTGTTTCTCATCAGTTATGTGACTTCTCACCAATTATGTGATTCTCACAGTTGCAAATATTTTTTTAATTTTAGAGAATGAAATACAACATTTTTGAAATGACAAAATTCTACTGACAGAGAATATATGTGTGGTTGCCAGGGGTTAGAATTGGGATGGGTAACACAAAGAAGTTCTTTTGATAGCAGAACAATTCTGTATCCTGATTGTGGTGGTGGCTGCACAGATCTCTATGTGAAATAAAATTTCATAGTTGTATATATCCTCCAAAAATGTGTGTGTGTGTATGTGTGTAAAAATTGATGAAATCTAAATAACGTCTAGTTTAGTTAATATTATTGGATCAATGTCAGATTCCTGGTTTTGATAATGTACTGTGGTCACGTAAGATATTATCTTTGGGGGAAATTAAATGAAGGGCACAGGAGAATTCTCTGTAATATTTTTGCAGCTGCTTGTGAGTCTAAAATTATTTCACAGTGAAAAGGCTTTTTTTTTTTTTTAATGGAGAAGTGTTATATAAGCAGATAAATTTAAAGTTTAGGTGTAATGATTCTATACACTGGGAATATCTGGCCTTAGATATTGATGCCTCAGTAGCTAGAAATCTTGTGGCTTCACATTAATTGTGAATGACTCAAACTTTGGATAGAGTTGAGGACATAGTATGCTGTTGTCTTATAAGGAAATACATTCCAGGAAAGGACTCTGGTGTTCTGTTAAAAAGAAAAAAAAAATAAAGCATCCTGACCTTATGTGTCACTCTGTTATCTGTTTATTTATACAAATAACATTTGTGTAAATAATTCAAGAGCTATTTGCTTTAAACTCCTGCTCAATCACCAGATCTGCTAAACAAGTACAGGGCAGGAGACTGATTTAATTCTTTTCTTCTCCCCTTTTACTTTTGGTCCGGGTTCTATTTGGCTGTAAGAGAAGAAGTGAGAAATACCGTGAACCGTGTCGTCATAGATGGACAACCTTGCTATGACTTGTGGAAGGGTGACTGCACCTGTCACGTCCTGATTTTCTCTTTCTTTTCTCTTGGGATGCGTTGTTTCCCTTCCTTCTCCATCAGCAGGCCACGTGTGATGGTGTCACTGACTTTCTCACTGTGTCTTCCCTCCTCCAGCTATCTTAATGACTTGGACCGCGTTGCTGACCCTGCCTACCTGCCTACGCAGCAAGATGTGCTCAGAGTTCGAGTCCCCACCACAGGGATCATCGAATACCCCTTCGACTTACAAAGTGTCATTTTCAGGTAGTAACTGAGTCCGTAAAATCCACTTCCCAGCTCTTACACCTGGAGCACGTTGGTGAATATATATTGAAATCATGTATAGACTTTAAAACAATAACACCTTTATACCAGTTATTATCATTAGGTACATAAATGAAGTAATGTGTCCCTGAAAGAGGAAGTAGAAGAAAGACGCATGAACAGGTTTCTTATTTCAGATTAAATCACTAAGAAATCAGTGAAATCAACATTAAGTTGCTTCAAAGAGTTAAAAACACAAGGTTTTGAAAATGCATTGATTAACCTAGCCTAAATTTACATAGGAAAATAGAATGAAGATTTATTACTTTCCCCTTCACTACTGCTATTCTTTCTGGGTAATACTTCAGCAGAAGTAGTCTAATTTTTTTTAAGATGAGAAAAAATGAGACTGCTTTCATTTAACCTCTTATTACACAATCGCTCAGATGTACTTTTAGTTAGAATACAAGCCGCATGGTGCATGGAGGAATGAAACCATGTGAGTATGTTTTTGGGTCTAGAAAGGTGAGTTACTTGGAAGAACCCATCCCATTTAAGGCAGCTACATAGAATACAGGGTTGTGAAGTGGGAGTTAATGTAACTTCTACAGTGTAACTGCCCTGTTACTCTGATAAGCAGGTCCTCCGTCATTGCCTGCAAAGCACTGTGTGTTTTATTCTAATCAGTCTCAGCACCTGTGCTGGCATCTGTTAGACATACCCATAAAGAGGGTGACACTTTGGAAATAATTTCTGAGCATCATTTTTTTCATCAATAAAATGGTTACATTAGATGATCGCTAAGGTTCCTTATAGCTTCAGCATTCTGGATTAAGTTTTGAGTTCATAGCATTTAGAGATCTTTCATTTGAAACACCACATTTCCATCTGGTTCTAACCTTGTTAGTATATTTTCAGAAGACAGGTAGCATTTCATGGAGATTTTCGTCTCCTCTTTGCTTTATGATTAGTGAAATCTGAAACCATGTCACTATTCCATCTTGGGGAGGTTGTTTCCTTCATTTTGTGTACTAACTTTTAAAGGACATTTTTTGGTACTTCAGTAAAAGTAATGGCAGAATAATAATTTCTTGCTACAATCAAAAGCATCTTACAGAGCTTAGCATGACAGGATTTCAGGGAATGAGGATTTCATATAAATGAACATACTATTCACTCAACACCAGAGAAGAGCTAGCATTTTAATATTTATAAAGACCTAAGAATCTAGTTTTGATGTCTGTAGTTCATAGGTCTCCCTGGATCCAATGTTTTGCTCCTCAGATATCTCTTTCATGAAAACTTTTCAAAGCAATCACTGGAACATCCTTGATTTCTTAATTTAGGTTTGACGCTGAGAGCCAGGAAGACACCAAGAACAACTGCAGTTCTCAACAAACACTTTCAGAACCCTACTCCCAAACTTTTTGTACCTAAAATTCTCATTTTCTGAAGAGATTTATCTTGTAAACATTGTGCACATTTTAGTCAATAATTTGAAGAAACTTAGATTCAATATTAAGTTCTGCTAGATATTTTCATGTGTACATTAGCATTCAAGTTAATTGATGTCAGTTCCTGAGCAATGAGTTAGCGCAGAGTTGATGTATAAAAATAAATTCTTGAAATAATTCATATGGTGGCTTCTTACAGCATCTTAATTTTATACACATGACTTCTTGCAGCATAGCAAGTTGATTTATGCATAAGGCTTATTCCACCATGTTATTGGCATGATTGTACAAATTATTGTCAATATTGGAAGAAAAAAACAGCCTCAAATGCTGGAAGATCAGTGGGGTTGTGTTTGCATTTACAGATTTACATACTCATGTTGAAATGTATGGCATCTTACATCCTTTAAATGCCTTTGCAGTCATCTCTAGCTTTTTTGAGAAATACATGAAGATCTTCATTCTGATTTTATAGGAAAAGAAACTGAAGACAGTATTTGCCATTAGAGCTGAACACAAATAAAACTCATTTTGTTTCTGACTCTTCTACGCTTGGTCAAATAAAACACCCTTTTTGCTTGGCTTGGCACAGGATTTCTTTCTTTCTTTTTTTTTTTTTTACAAAGTCATAATTTTCATACATGCCAGGTAATTTTTTAAAAGCCACAATGATTTATTATGTGGAATGTCTTGACTTTGATTTTGGGTAACAGAAAATTAGTAGATGGTCAATAAATATTAATTGAATTGACTTTGGTGACCTATTCTCTTCAGAAAGTATATTTCTTAAGTTTATAAGTAAAGCTGTATTTATATTGACGCTTTTCTTTATGTGCTATTAATATGAATATTATTAACCTTGCAGAATGGTCGATGTAGGGGGCCAGAGGTCAGAGAGAAGAAAATGGATACACTGCTTTGAAAACGTCACCTCTATCATGTTTCTAGTAGCACTTAGTGAATATGATCAAGTTCTCGTGGAGTCAGACAATGAGGTGAGTGCTCTGTGAACAGGCAGTGGATCATCATTTTAATATCTGATACAAATAACTGATAAGGCTTGGGATAAACTGACTTCATTGCTTTCTTGACTACTGATTTGAGAATTTTTTAAATAACCCAAAATAACCCTGTTGTACCACTCAGAACAATAAGATGTTTGAGCAGGTCTGTGTGTTCAGGTCTAATTAGACCCTATTTGATACTTTTTACACTAGACAGAGGCTCTGAAAATGAAAATAACCAGGAAATCCCTAGGCTAATCATCACACTGTTTTATAGACTTCTTCCTACAGGATGGAGCTAAGGGTATTGGAGTGAGTCAGCCTGTTTTGTTTTGTTTTCATTTTGTTTGAATCATTGTTTGTGTGAGGGGTGGGTCCCAAAAAATACTCAAAATCTCTCTTGGCAAATGTGAGTGACTTTGCAGCTGGGCTCTAAATCAGTTTGTTCTGGAGCCAAGAAGTGTCCTGGTGATGTGGCCTCCCTGCTCTTACAGAATTCTGGAGGCTATTGCAAAACTTTTATCTCTTGTAATCACTGAGTGAATGAAAAAGCATCCTTGATATGCCTGTCTGGAGAGCTGATTCAGGGTTGTCATCTCCCTATTGCATGAAATTCTGACAAGTATAAATACAGATTTTTAGGATGATAAAGGCGCCATCATGAGTCAGAGTTGATTGTGGAGAATATTTAAGGGACATAGAAAGCTGTGACTTTGGTCTGGAGCTCGGTGTGTGTTGGGGAAATGGAGAAGACACCATTGTTTTCCTGCTAGAAGCAGAGTTTGCAGACTGACATGCCAATAGCAGATGTTAAATATCCTCCTAATAGGGTAGAAAATAAAGAGAAGGACATGAGAAATCCCCAAGAGCTGATTAAAATAAGATCTGGCATATTAAAATGTACTTCTGATTTTGTACATTTTTGGGGTACACAAGAATTCTGGCTTCTTGGTCCTTTTAAATATTTTATTTTTCTTCAGGTGTTAGTATTTCCTTTAAAATACAGATCCAGTCCTCCTTTGCATTTTTTTTGTATATAGAATTGATATAAAGTTGATGAACAAATATCCCATATGGAGATAAGTTACCTGTTCATACATTTCAAATGTTTCCTGGGTTATAAGTATTTGGGCTTTTGAACCAAAGAAGTTCTTTTTTTTTTTCATGTATATCTTGTTATTTAAGAGACTTCTTTTTAATAATGAGGTTTATCACCATTTGCCTTCTGTAACACAAAATGCCTGAAAAGTATAAGATATATGAGAATAATTATCACACTTTTGAGTTAAGCAGTTGCTTAACTCAAATTTATTAAGAATTTTAGATATGCTATCTCAATATGTATTTTTATTTTTATATCTGTTTGTTATTCCATAATCTTTGGATATAATATTTTAAAGACATTATATATTTTGGAAGAATATGACAACATTTTTTATTTATTTGAATGTTGAATCAAGACAAAAGATATTTTGAGGGCTCATTCTACTATGTGCTAGATACCAGGCTATCTAAAGAGATACAGAAATGGGGGGAAAAAAATTGACACTGGCCTAAAGGACCTCGTAAAAAGAAGGATGCTTTTTGTCAGTATAGAGAGTAGGAGAGGAGAAAGGCCTTAGTTGTAAAGGTCATCATTTCTCTTCTTTAATTTGCTGTCCAGTGAAATAAAATTTTAAGATGTTTTCAACTACACAGAAGATGTAAGAAGCATGCATAATTTAATTTCTTTTGTCACTATTTACATATAGCTAGAGGAAAACAAATGTTTATCAATACATATTTTATATGATAAATGCATTATATTTATAAAGAAATATATTTTGTGATTTAATGCTAATGAGTTTACCACTTCAAAACTTGCAACTCATCAGCTAATTCTAGCACATAAATCCAGTTAAAGTTTCCACACAATGAAAGTTTCCACAGTAACTTGCCATTCAATGTATAGGTACTTACGTACATCTAAAAATATATCAGTTTCTTGATTCCTGTGGTGATGTCTTATGCTGCAAATTAAATAATAAATCTGTTACTGTTCATTAGGACTCCCTAATCACTTGTGCATACTTTTTAAGCCTACCTTGTAATTTTATGATGTTCTTTTCTCAAACATCATGTCAAGTCTGATTGGTAGTACTGGAGATGGTCTTAAACTTAATAAGAATAAATAATACTGCTCATTAGTTTCTTCATCCATGTTATCCATAGCCATCACTGTTGGTAACTGGGAAACACTATCAAAAGTATTTTTAAATGTCAGGATGTAGTCCATTATTCTTTTTTATTTTCCAATTAGAATAATATATGAAAATATCATTGCCTTTACTTTCTCAAATCTTTAAGAAAACTCAGAACTATAGAATTCTACTTTCCCCACATTTTTAGGGTTTGGTGAGACAAAGCTGGAATAAACTCCTAAAACATTTTGTTCTTTTGAAATCTGATGTTCATAACTCTAATCCAAAGCAGACTTTGTTGTACTTCCCTTGATATATATTCATGAGAAAAATGTAGGAATGGATACTGACAGCTGCCTTTTTATCTTGGGGAACTGTGGAAAATGCATTGCAGACCACTTGCAAAAGCAGTTAAAGGAAGTATTTTATTTTAAGTTATTGCTTTGGCTTTTAATATTTTAAAGCTTTATGTATTAGTCCTCAGAATGTTTATGTAGATATGCTTTTGTCTGTCTAGATTCTGTCTTCCAAGAGTTTGGGGAATGAATTTCTTTATCTTTTTTCTCCAAAAAAGGAAATATGTGGTCAAACAGTGGGTGAGCATAATCAGGGTTGTAGAGCTGTGTTGATTTCCATATTCCTTTTGCTGTCTTGGTTTCCCTGTGATAGCATACCAGCATAGAGCCAGCTATTCTGCTCTAATCCTTTCACATGTACATTATTTCAGTGTCCCTGAAAGTCCAGAAAACACAATAAAGCATTTGCATAACATAGTTCAGGTCATCGGTGTATATCCAAACTCCATCTTTTAATCCTGTTTTTGTGGTTCTCTGTTATGTGAATATCTGAGCACTAATACATTGCTGTTTCTCAGATACTGACTGAGGGACTGTCTTCTTACAGACTAAGCTTTTTATAGAATCACAAAAACTCACTCTTTTTCTCCAGCACTTCTTTTTTGAGTGTATGCTTCTCAGTTCAGTTTAGTCACCCAGTCGTGTCCGATTCTTTGCGACCCCGTGGACCACAGCACGCCAGGCCTCCCTGTCCATCACCAACTCCCAGAGTTTACCCAAACTCATGCCCGTTGAATCGGTGATGCCATTCAACCATCTCATCCTCTGTTGTCCCCTTATCCTTCTGCCCTCAATCTTTCCCAGCATCAGGGTCTTTTCAACTGAGTCAGCTCTTCGCATCAGATGGCCAAAGTATTGGAGTTTCAGCTTCAACATCAGTCCTTCCAATGAACACTCAGGACTGATCTCCTTTAGGATGAACTGGTTGGACCTCCTTGCAGTCCAAGGGACTCTCAAGAGTCTTCTCCAACACCATAGTTCAAAAGCATCAATTCTTCGGTGCTCAGCTTACTTCATAGTCCAACTGTCACATCCATACATGACTACTGTAAAAACCATAGCCTTGACTAGACGGACCTTTGTTGGCAAAATAATGTCTCTTCTTTTTAATATGCTGTCTAGGTTGGTCATAACTTTCCTTCCAAGGAGCAAGCGTCATTTAATTTCATGGCTTCAGTCACCATCTGCAGTGATTTTGGAGCCCAAAAAAACAAAAGTCAGCCACTATTTCCCCTGTTTCCCCATTTATTTGCCATGAAGTGATGGGACCGGATGCCATGATCTTAGTTTTCTGAATGTTGAGCTTTAAGCCAACTTCTTCACTCTCCTCTTTCACTTTCATCAAGAGGCTCTTTAGTTCTTCACTTTCTTCCATAAGAGTGGTGTCATCTGCATATCTGAGGTTATTGATATTTCTCCCAGCAATCTTGATTCCAGCTTGTGCTTCATCCAGCCCAGTGTTTCTCATGATGTATTCTGCATATAAGTTAAATAAGCAGGGTGTGTATGCTTCTAAATTACATTAATCCTCTTGAAATGGTCACAACCAATTAGGTTTTAGTTTTATTAAAATATTGAGATAGTTCCCTGTATCCCAGGTTCTCCTTTGCACCAAGACAGATTCCCCAATATTGGTTCCCATAAACGTTTATTCTTCAAATCTGATTCTTAGAGTTGCTCAATTGATTGAAAAAAAAAAAAAACTGTCAAAGGAGAGCATAGACATTTGTAATACCTTAGCACTCAATGCCTGTTCAAAACTTGTTTAAACCATTCCTCACTGGATCTCACTGGATCTCACTGGCTGACTTCCTGTGCGGAGAAGATCAGGTTTGCTGAGAATGGAGAGATTAAGGCCATGGGCAGGATCATTCAGGCCCCCGTTCCCCTGCCCTTCTAGACCAACTTTCTTTCCCCTACTTCACAGTGTCTTCCAGAAGTTACAGATGAGCTCAGAGAAAAAGCAAGAGGAGCTGTTAAAGGTAGCCAAGAAAACAGAGGTAGAATGAAAATACTGACCCTACAAAGCGTGAAACCACTCTTTTCCATCTCTAAGCTCTTGCTACACTCATAGTGGATCAGCCAGAGATCCTTTACCAGTCGTTCAGTTTCTGAATTACTCTTGTGATTTTAAACTATCTTCAAACAGTCTAAAATGTGCATTTCCTTCAGATGTTTCTCCTCTATGGAGTCTTTCAGTTCCGTTCAGTCACTCAGTCATGTCTGACTCTCTGCAACCCAATGAATCGCAGCATGCCAGGCCTCACTGTCCATCACCAACTCCCAGAGTTTACCCAAACTCATGTCCATTGAGTCAGTGATGCCATCCAACTATCTCATCCTCTGTCATCCCCTTCTCCTCCTGCCTTCAATCTTTCCCAGCATCAGGGTCTTTTCTAATGAGTCAGCCCTTCGCATCAGATGGCCTAAGTATTGGAGTCTCGGCCTCAACATC